GTAGGCTTCTCTTGATCTCTGCTCTCCACACTCCAAATATATTTGGAAGACTTCATCTCATTCTCAGATATCATTAATCTACCCCTTCATCTATCTCTATTAGTCAGGCACAAGCCAAGATTTACAACACTTTCTGCAACATTCTGAAGGGCTTTCCGGAAAAACAACAACAACAATAACAAAAAACACTATACACTTAGAAGATAGATTTTTTTCTTGAAAATCCCTAGAGTCCCTCAAATGTAATAGAGTACAGCTTACTGCAACAGACAGATGCACATCTACTACTTTACACTAAAGTGAACAAACCATACTATTTCTGCACTATCCTTTCTTCCCCTTTGACAGACAGGCTTTGAGAACATAGAGACACAGAAACACAGAGGTTAAAGAAGCTGGATCAATAAAAGCCTGTGATGAGAAAGTACCATGTATGCCAACCATGAGGTTGGAAGTCCCTTGAGGGCAGTGTCACCGCGGGTCCCACTGAATGTCAGGGCTGACTCAAAGAGCCCAAATTTTCCCGTTTCCCTCCAAGGGAAGTGATAGGGAGAAAGCAAAGTTCATGTCTTCCTGCCAAAACCACCGCCAGCACTGCCTGCCTAGATGTGGAGGATCCCTTGAAATGTCTTGGCAAGAAGTGGTTCTGGAGTGTTGGCCAAGGTGCTGAAGCCAGGAGGGCACCTGTGCCAATGAAGCGCCCCTTCTCACTACTCTTAAGGGCACTGTGCTCATCCATTGTGACAAGATGTCACTAGGATTTCAAATGTATGATAATCTTGGAGAAAGGTGTACGTGTGTGTGTGTGTGTGTCTGTGTGTGTTTGCACACAGAAGGGCAGCTAGGACACATATTATTTATGGAAATTCCAGTGCTACAGAAACATTATGAGAATCCACTCAAAAGCAAAACAAAGAGTTATTTGGATGCCATGACTGCTAAAGCGCTGTCATATGATTACTAAGAATCCCTAAGATGAATGGACTGCAAAGCAACCCAACTATAAAGCAAATGACAGCATAGCAAAGGCACAACCCAGAGCAATCCTTTAAAGCAGTGGTTCTCAGCCTTTTCAGTGCTGCGACCCTTTAACACAGTTCCTCATGCTGTTGGGCCCCCAACCATAAAACTATTTTCCATGCTACTTCATAACTGTAATTTCGCTACTGTTATGAAATTGTAATGTAAAGATCTCTGTTTTCTGATGCTCTTAGGTGACCCCTGTGTGAGAATCATTCGACCCCCTAAAAGGGGTCGCCACCCAAAGTTTAAGAACCACTGCTTTAAAAGTAAAAATTACTGTCTTGTGTGTGTCTTATGTCCTAATACCTCCACTTAGCTTTCAGAATAGCCCGTTTTTGACAGTTTGTGTGTTCTTCCCTAAAAATATGCACACTGATATCAAAACCACAGACTGGCACTGTCAAGGGATTGGCTAACAGTTGAATCGCCTCTGGTGGCTGCAGATTGCAGCCAGTGGTGAGGGAAAGGGAAGAGAAGGCAGCCTGGCCACCAGTTCCTTTCACACCCCAGGCTTTCCCCCCCCCACCCCCACCCTTCGGGCATCTGATGCTCTGGTCTCTTTGCCAGGCAATTTGCTTCTGCTCTGTTCAACTTCCCGACCTCTGGCTTTAGAGAAGGGCTCTGGCTGTGGGAACTGGCTCTGACCAGCTTTGGCTCCCTCCTCTTCGGTGACTGGCAAAAGCAACACTTTCTCTTTGACACTCTTAAAAAGAGCTGTTTAATTCCTAATGGTATTTACTGGCAAAAAGGAAAATGAAACCCACAACGAGGAGGATTCCGGTCCAACAAAGTCAAGCCAAAAGCTTGGTAGAGCCCCACTCTTGCTGGAAGGCTGCTTCCTACTGCTTCCCCTTTCCAACACAGTGGATGTGCGCTCCCAGCTTGCTACTTCCATCCCGTAGTGTGACACCTACTGGAATTTATGAATATCTGGAGATGCATGGCTATGATTTGGGCATCTGATGTTGGTTGCTTGGCCCAGGGACTTCCCGCGGAAATCACCCAACACTTAGAAGGCATTTCGACAAGGAAGTAACCGGTGGAGCCTTCTGGCGGGAGAACCCCACGAAACCGCTTCAAAAAACACCAGAAGCCACCGGCTACTTAATAGCCCACGTTCCCTCCATCCTGTCTCCCCAGCTCTTTCTGCAACAGTATAAAGTGGCTTGTGGGGTTTCAGCTTGGGGGTGGGGGGAGCTGTGCGAACTGCATTTGTCTCAGCACTAGATATAAGGTGGCAGCTGCAGCTTTAGCCCGGCTGAGGTGCTCACTACATCTTTTCCAGGTTCCCACAGGGATGAGGGATGCGCAGACTTTCAGATCTACAGGTTCCATCCATGTGCATCTCCACTACCACTCCCGCACCGTCTTCCCCCGCCCCCCTCCCCTGTCCCACGTCCTGGTCACCCCTGTCACCTTGCACCACTGTGTATACAATCCCGCCTCCTCCTCCACCCTCCTTAAAACGTGGGCACATCCTCTCCCACGCAGCAGCTGCTCATCTAAGCGTCCCATGTCCCTAAAGTCCCCAAATGTGCCTCTGGTCCTTAATTCTTGGGTGACACTGCCTGATGGAGGTGGCTCCTGGGTCGCTCTACCAAGTGGCAGAGGAGAGAGTGCTGGGGTGGAGGACACGCTAGCTCCTGAGCTGGGGTTCATAGGACTGGAGGGAGGCCTGCCTGGGGTCCCTTGGCAAGTCCCGCTGCTTGCGCGGGGGACGCACAGTACTCACCCTCTGCTGCTGCTGCCTGCTGCTGACGGCCACCGCGGCTGCGGACGCGGCGCTGTGCCGGAGCTCGGCCGCCTGCCCGGGTCTCAGCAGGCTCCGGGTGAACCTGCGGGTCCGCTCTCCGGCCATGGCGGGCCGTGCTCCTTGAGCTTCGGCCCAGGAGCGAGTGTGTCCCGCCGGTCCCCGGGCCGCGCCAGCCTGCTCTACCCACCCGCCGTTCAGGAAGCGGAACTTAGAGCCTTTCCCCCCCTCTTCCCCGCTCAACTCACAAGAGGCGGGTTTTTCTCGCGCGCACCCCCACTCTGCCCACCCCCTCTGCTCCCGCTCGAGCTCCGAGGCGACTTTGCAAACTCTGCCCAGCTCCGGCTGTGCGGCCAACTTGGCCCAGCTAAGGCGCATATGCAATGAGAGACACGGGGCGCACGTGGGGTGGCTCCACCCACGCCGCCCACCCGGGACTGGGTACTGAACCCGGGATGCGGCTGCTGACTCCGGATGGAACCTCCCCACCTTTCTGCTCTCAACCCTGATGCGCTTGGAGGGCTGGGGACCTGGCGTTTTGAGGCTCAGATCTGCATTCTGATGCCAGAGAGTGGATAAGGGTAGAACACAGGTTTCCCACGCACCTTTGGAGGTGCTTTAGAGGTTTATTAGGGATCTGTCTGGTGACTTGGAAGCTTGCTTTGAAGTCTTTCTGGACCCAGAGTCCCTACTTGGTCTTGGGACAGCCTGTATGAATTCACACCTGCCTCCAATTTTTCCTAAACTGCTTTCTTATTCTATTCCAGCTATACTGCTCTGGAAAATGAGACTAGAGAGGGTGATTTACCAAGAGCCTCCTAATTTAGCATACTAATTTGAATGAAAATCTAGTGTATATCTGAGTAATACAAGAGATTTCAGGATGGCATTAGGATGAGTAAGTAAGAACTGTCTTCTTGGGTTACAGGGTAGAGTGAGCCCAGCATGGTGGGTGGTTTTTAGTCTTTTTCCTGTCTTCTCACCAAATGCCTACTTACCCTGACTCAAGCTATCTGATTAAGCATTCTAAATATCTTATCTGGAGTCACATGCAGCCTGGTGGTTCTCTGTCCAGTGTGGGTGGGTTAAAAAAAAAAAAGGCTCCTGGAAGAGCTGTTGGGACACTCTGGATTTTTTAATGCTTCTTTTTTGTTGTTATTTGTTTTTGCTTTTATTTGTTTGTTTTTGTGGATCTGTGACCTCTGCATTTTTCTAAAGTTAAAAACACTGTTTTAGCTTGAGATATGGCTCGTGCTTGTGATGGCCTCGGTAGGCTGACAGTCTCCCTTTGAGTAAACCTGGGCTACACACAGTGTGACTCTGCTTTAATGCTTGACAAAGTATTCATAACCACTTCCCTGAATTTCAGAAGAATACCTGGCTGGTGTATGGTAGGGACTGAATAACCCATGACTAGGAATGACTCTCAAAGACTCGGGAAGTCTGGTGCAGTCAGAGACTTGAGTGCTGAAGCAGGGCCACAGCAAGGAGAAGAGAAAAGTGTTCTGGAAGCAAAAGCTATAGAAACAGAACATGCGCCAGCTTTGAACTTACTTTGTTCTTTTGAAATACTCTCGGCAAAAGCTAGTTGAGGAGGAAAGCATTTATTTTGCTTCTACTCCCAGGTGACGGTTACCAATGGAAGTTAGGGCAGAATACAGAGCAGAAACGTGGAAGCAGGAATCTGGATCAGAAAGCACAGAGGAGTGTTGCTCATTGGCTAGCCCTCTGGCTTGCTTTCAGCTCCCTTTATCTTATACAGCAAGGCCCATCTGCTTAGGGATAATGTTGCCCACACTGGGCTGGGCCCTCCAGCATTAATCGCTAGTCAAGACAATCTCTCACTGATAATGGCCACAGGCCAATCGGATAGTGTGTGTGATTAGCTTCTTTCCAGGTGACTCTACATTGTGTCCAGTTGAATACAAAAATGAAGTAGGACAATACACTGGATAGCATATGCAACCTAGTCTTCAACTGCATCATACATTAAAAAATCACGTGTTTTCACTGTGGGTACTAATTTTGCCCTCTCCAGCTTGGGAGGCCACCACCACCATCCACCGGTGTGGAAGGATTTGTGAACGAGTGTCTGTTTGCCCCACCCATGATATTAATGCTATGAATCAACTGACAAGCAAGATGGATACAGCTGTGGCAGCAGGTATCACGCAGTGTGCATTAGGTGCAGGTGTGTGTCACACAAGCGTAGCACCAGACATCTCACCTTCAGATTCCATTACCAGTGTCCCACTTGAGTCTTGCAGGCCTCAGTCATGTAAGCGTTAGTGAAGGTGTCTTCTGGATGCCGGGGAGAGGAAGCACAGAGAACTGATTGTCCCTCAGCATATGCATAGACCTTGCTGGGAAGACACAGCCATTCTTTGCTGTGGAAGCCTGTTCTGAGGCTTACTGACAGAGGCCCTCTGAGTCTTGCTGGTGCTCCATTTCTCAGTTTTCTGAAAAGATTTGTAAAGGCAAATCTGTACGTTAAGTTTTGGCTCATATTTCTGTCTTGAACTTTTTATCCTGTCCTTATTTTTCTAAAAAGAAAAGGAAAAGGCACCTCAGTCTGCTGCAGTCTGCATTCTACATCCTAGTCTTTTTTTCTTTTCTTAATATATATATATATATTATGTGTCCATGTTGTCCTGGAACTGGAGAGTTACAGATGGTTTGGAGATGCCATGTGGGTGACAGAAACAAACCCCTGTGGTTTGGAAGAGGAGTCAGTTCTTCCAATGGGAGAGCCATCTCTCCAGTCTCCCTGTCCCCTTTTTTATTTTAAAAATACCATTGTAGGAACACAATCATTACACTTTCATATCTCTAAAATAAGCAAACTTTTAAAGACCTTAAGATACTCTACGTGAGGGTAAACCTTGACTGTCAGCTGGATTGGATTTGGAATCACCATGGAAACAATCTCCAGTCTTGTCTGTGAGGCTTGAGCACTACTCACTCCACGCCTGAGGGTCTCAGACTGATTGGAAAAGACCAAACAAGCTGAGTACAGGCATCCATCATCTCTCTGTGTGACTGCAGGCATCCATCTCTCCTCTGTGTGACTGCAGGCATCCATCTCTCTGTGTGACTGCAGGCCCAATGTTACTAGCTGCCTCACACTCTGCCATGGCTTTACCAGTGATGGATGATGAGCTTGAAATGTCAGCCAAAGTCAATTATTTCTTCAGTTAATTTTGTCTAGGCATTTTGTCACACCAACAGGGTAAGTAACTAATAGACTATAGAATAGTGACAAAAAGTACATGTTGTAAAGTTAAACTCCCCATGAACAAACCCCAGCTTCACTATACATAGATGGCTGCATGGGTTGCAATTATATACTGTCGAGTCATAATTCTTGTCTTCACCTGAGCTGGCACAGATCAAACTCTTCCATAAGAAGCGACACCATGCCATAGCCACTCATGCTGTACCAGTGATAGAGAGCTCACTGAATCTGCCCTGCCCCCTGCCCCCTGCCCCCTGCCCTTTATCCACATACCAAAATCCATGCCAAGGCAAAGTATCTGAGATTAATTTTTTTAATCACATATTCTTTTAAATTATAATATCCATGACCCATGGAATAACAAAAGACCACCCATACCCCCTTTTCTCTTGGGAATGGGGACTAAGTCCTTTCCATACCACTTCCTGCTGGCTGTGGGCCAAGATATCCCCATGGGTCCTTGAGAAGAAAATTGGAGATAATGTCCGTCCTGGGAAGGCAAGTTATAATCTTGGTTGATAGATATCAGCTGTCAGGATTCAGGAGGTCTCCCCTGATCAAACCAGAACCAAATCAACCTGGAAGGAATAATCCATGGCCTCTTGTTTCCTGTAGAAACAAAATCGAAAACACTTCTTCAAAGCATTTTTGATTTCCATTTGGCACACACATTTTTTTTTGAGATTTTAAAAGTTAAGGCACTCCTAAATATCTAAGCTGGTTTATTTCCATAGTCCCTCTTTCAATTCCAGGTCTCTCAGCAGTTGTCTTCTGCTTGTCAGCAATCAAAAAATTCAAAATCAACACAATAGCATGAAGGATCCAGATTCCCCGTGTATTTCCCATCTCTACTTGGCTTATTCTTTTTTATTTCTTTTACTCTCTTTAAAGACTTTACTTTATTACTTTTAAACTATTTCTTTCTTTCTATGACTGTCTATACCCTTTTTCTTTTTTTCTTAAGCCTACATACATTGTAAAGCACACTGGGACCAGTTTAGAGAGTTTTATTCTTTTTTTTTTTTCAATCTGGACCTCCTTTACTGCATATCTCTATAGTCTTTTTTGACCACACAAACAAACTTTAAACTGTTAAGTTACACTGGGTCCTCCTGTGGTTCTATTGGCTGGTTCTGCCCAACCCCGGGTAGGGTGGGGAAAGCTAAGCCTAGATCTCACAGCCTGGACAGAGGTTCGAGACCAAGAATTGCATTAAACCTTTCTAGCTGTGGAAGCCCATACCTGCACTGCTGCAAGCAGTTTTTACTTTGCTTGCTATTTCTAGCTTCTGTTTAGTGCTGCTGGCTGAACAGCAGCACCCTTAAAGGAACCGTGTTCTTTTACTTTCTTAGGCTCTACATAGAAATCCAAGCCCACATAGAAATCCAAGCCCCACAATGGTGTACCATTTTGTTGCTTTCTTTTTTGATTGTTACTGCCTTTTAAGATAAGGCTATCCTATTCAGCAACAATCACTACACCACCACTAGCAATGGCTAGGACAAAAGAGCCAAAGCCTGAGGGAATTTCGTTCCCTGGGGCACTAACTTTTTCAAAGCTACTAAGGAAACTTATTTAAACCTCTGTCCCACTACAGAACTCAAGATTCAGAAGCTGAGGTAGAATCCTACCTCCCAGAGAGGCTAAATAGCAAGCAGATAACTTAGTTCACCTCAGAGTCTCCCAAGGAGACCTTCTGCTTCCCTCCAGCCCTTGGAAGCACTTCTTCACCTGACTCCTCCCTACAACTTCCTGTCAGCTAGTTGCTGAGCCAGCCTCCTAACTGAATGCAGGTGAATTTTATTTAATCAAACACATCTTTGCATCATTAAACAAATGTTCCAGAGCATAAACGAAAGTAATACACCTTAAAATAGTACTCTACAACACACAGATTTTGGGTCAATATAAGGGAGAAGAAAATGCTGAGATATCAATGGGATATTTCTGTTCTTGCGAAGGAAACCCAGGAGGAAACTCTGCATCTTCATCTTAGGCATTTTGGCTTCCTTTACTGATGAGTTGCTTATTCTTAATATTCATGGGTTTTTTTGTTTGTTTTTTGTTTTTTGTTTTGCAAGACAGGGTTTCTCTGTATTGCTTTGGAGGTTGTCCTGGAACTTGCTCTGTCGATCAGGCTGGCCTCGAACTCACAGAGATCTGCCTGCCTCTCCCCCCCCAGTGCTGGGATTAAAGACATGTGCCACCAATGCCTGGAATATTCATCACTCTTAAAGATTATATACCTTGATAATAATATAGTTATAATATAGTAATTTATTTTAAGAGAGAAAAATAAAAATGAATCCATTTTTAAATATTTCCTTGAGAAATTTTCCTCTATACACGAGTGAGAGTGGTATTCTTTCATGTTGCCAGGGACATTACTAAATTGGGTAGGAGAGCTTTCTGTCTCTTTCCATGGCTACCATAATTTTAATAACATCAGGGTTATTTGTTCTGTGCAGGTTGGATGGTATCCAGCTGCAGAGCCATCTGGTTTTGGTACCCTTTTGAAATGGGAGACATGTTATCAGTTTTAAATCTCTTCTGTGGTAGTTGGTCTATGTTCAAGATTCCCACATCTACTATTTCATAATAATTTGTATTTTACTAAGAATAACACTTACCTTTCCGGAATCCAGAAACACTTGCCTTAGAATAGAGGTAGAATAAAGTGTGTGTGTGTGTGTGTGTGTGTGTGTGTGTGTGTGTGTGTGTGTTTAAAACACATATCATGTGTTCTACTGTTTTACTATAAGAGATCATACACGTCTTAAGTACAAAAATTCAAAAATATTATAGGTGTTTAAAGTATGTTTTGAACTTGCACCTCTAACTTGGTAAGACCTTATTTCTGAAATACAATGTCGTCTCCTTATGCAGCAGCAACATGACTTAACAGAGTGACCTTGAAAATCCTGTACATCATTTCTCACAGGCTGTGATAAAATGCTTTTTCATCATAGCCACTTTGGTCAATCTAGTATTTTATCATAGGTGCTGAATAGATTTGTTTGTGGCATTTCTTATTTCCTTAATGGAAAGTCATCCCCCTCACCTTGTGATAATGGTATGGACTAATTCAGAGGACAAGCCAGTGGTCCCAGCCCTGCTTTTGACGTTTTATTTGTTCCTTTTTATCTAAAAGCTTTAAAGAAATCTTTTATTACTCATTGATTAGCACCCACTTCTCTCTTTCCTAATCTGGAACACTTTACTTCCTCTGTTCATGACTGGTGTTCCAATGGTATTATCTAGTCGTTAGTTTCTTTAAGGGGTTGGTTTTAGACATATAAGTTTAACTTTACTTTTTATTTAATTGTTAATAAGGTGAATCATTTTGTCTTAACTTTTGAGAGTATTTTAATCAAGAGATTAAAGACTAGATTTTGCATATATTCTACATTTTGTGTATGAAAAAGTAGTATGTTCAAGTGCACAAAGCTTACATTTTCCTTATAGGAAATGTGTGATATATTACTTTAAATCAGCAAGTAGGCTGAGGAGAGAGCTCAATGGATTTCAGCATTTGGACCAAAGTTCTTATTTCTAGATCCTGTATAGATGCTGTCTAGGGTGTTGTCCAGGTTGTTCTACCTGAAATCTCAGCCTTGGAAATATGGAAGAGACAGGATTCTCAGCACAAACTGGTTAGTCAAAATACACATCTAGATGACCTCTGGTTTCATGGACAGACCCTGTCTCAACAAATAAGGAGGAAGAACTATGAAAGATGGTTTCAGACACCAACCTTGCGACTCTGCATGCACGAGTACACATTTTTAAGTGCATCCCAATTCCCATGTGTCCACACTTGTACAAACAAGCACACACGCACGCACACACACACACACACACACACACAATTCAAAAAATCCAGAGAAATTTGCTTAAACACACTCAAAATTTTACTCAGTTTAAAACGTGATGGCCAAGTTTCTATAATTGAATTTCTAGCATAGATGGTTTTAATACAAATTCTTTGTCAACATATATGTGTTTTTACATATGTGTGTAATTTGTTTACGATAGTGCACATTGCTAACCAGAAATTATCATATCATTAGTAGTTTTCCTTATAGAGTGAGAAATGTTACAACAAACATTAAGTGACATTTTCCAAAAGATAGAGATAACGTATTTTCTCCTGATAGTCTCAGAAAGAAACACAATGTTCCTAACATATCAGATTAATGGTTAAATAACCAATTTTAAACAGTTTATAACACAAGATTTGCAAAGCCTTACTGCCTTGGTTTTCTTTAATGTAGGAGACAGATGGAGAAAATGTATTTTAGGTAGATCTGGTTGGTACTTTACATCAATTATTTTCAGGCATTTGGTCTTAGATTTGAAAACCCATGTGATTTCAGTGGTTGCAGCCGATTTCCTAGCTTGTGGTGTTGGTGTGCTCAGTATTTGCATGAACTCATTTTCTGTACCTTCCTGTGGTAGAGAGTAGTGAACAGAAATTTCACAGCATTGCTCAGGACTTAGTCTGTGAAAGGGTGGGGAGGTGTCAGGGGAGGGAAGGCAAGGGAGACTGCATGCTGTTGCCGAGCAGTCCCCCAAATGCCAAATGGAGTGTTCTTGGGGATGCTTATTCAAGCAAGACTAGTAGGCTTTGTTTTTCCACACAAGGCCATTAGTGTGTATTGATACAACTAGATTAGGGTTTTCAAAGCTTTCATCTTTTAGCAGTTTCTTATGAGAGGGCTTAGAAATGTGCTCTGTTCTGACTAATCACAGGTATTGTCCCCTTTCTCCTTATCTTTGCTAAAAGGACAAAGAGAAGTTTTAAAAAATACAAAACCCTATTTGTAAAGAAAATGAAAAGCAATAGGAGAGTTACTATGAAAATTGCCTTAAAATTCCTGATAAAATTAGAGTATTTTTGTGGTTTTTAAAAGAGGCCTATTAGCATCATCTTACTCATAAAACACCAAGCTTGTGTTAGCAACAGGCTTTTCTGATACTGCCACAAAGCTTATATTATGTTAGAGAAATTATTACAATGGAGCTACTTAAAAACACATGCATACAACTTTCAATAGAACATTCTGTAAAGGCATATTATTTTGTAACCCCTCTTGTTTTCACTCAACTTCAACATTCACCTAACCATTGTCGATTCGTTTGATGACATTTGCCCATAAAGGCCTAGCCTAGTGGTTAGTGTGCGAATCTATTTAATAGGTTTTAGTTCTATTGTTGGGTGTGAATTCTTCTTGTTTCACACTCTGGGCAGGTTCAGGTAGTGTGACAAATAGAGAATGAGTTTTCTGGTAAGAATTTCTAGAGCTGTGTTTGGGTGTTAGTAGGCAAAGCCTTACAGAGGCTGACAGAACCAGAAGGGGCATAGAATCACCTAAGTCATTTGTCCTGTGGGTTTGATGGTTGGTGTTCCTGTTAAAGAAAGAAATGGCAATCCAGAAGCAAAGGGCTGCATCTCAGCTGTTAGTCAGTGACCGCTTGACTAGAGTTTTACCATCAAGCCAGAAGCATGCAAAGGAGGAAAGTCAAAGGAAAGTGGTAGTTAGTATTCTAAAAACCAGCACAGAAGCACCTAGATCATGGAACCACACACACAACAT